TAAATTATTTCACAATTGTTAGAAAATGGATTCGAAACAGTGACCTCTCATGCAAAAAGAAGGTTCATTGCCAGTTAAGCTACAACAAATGCTTGGCTAAATAAGGAACTTAACTCGTATATAATCTGAAATATTTATTTATTGTAAACAAAAAAAAACTGTTCCGGCGGATCCAGCACGGGCGGCCGCCAGGGCTGGCCGGGTGCTGGGTCCGCCCCTGAGTCTCCTCTTGGAACGTTCTTCACCAGGTTTGGTGACAACCCACATCAATGTCTGTTGGTGTGTGCCGTGAACATATTCGCAATGAACAACGTAAAATAAGATAATATGAAGCTACCAAAGGGCACCCAATCACGGTATTCTACTGTAAATACATGTTAACATAGGATGCCAAGAAAATGGAGCTTAGTCATCGTAACGCAACACCTGAACTAGCAACTTATTTTAATCCACGTACAAGAATATCTCTTTGCTGATATACAAATTATGCAAATTAACACATGGAAACATCAGTGTCCACCAACATAATCAGGGAATTGTATGTAACATGATCCCTTGATATGGAATACATTTAACAATCAACAGCACGATATCATTTGCATTGTGACATAGACCCAACAATGTATAGCTAATACTACAATATTACTTGTATCATTATGGTAGACAAGGACAGGTAATTCGTGACAAACATATTTATGCCCTTGTGCCCACATAAATGACATACTTGGAACCTTGAAGCTTCCAGCTATGCATCTAATCATTTGTGTTCACTTAAAGTGAGATATGCTCCCTAAATTCTGGAAAATGGACGAGTGAAATAAGTTGGTAATATTGTTGAGCAATTCCTTTGATGAATCACTATATAAGACATATGATGCTCGGACTCTTCAAAATAGTTGGAGTATCCGTGTCGAACACGACACGACATGGGTATGGATATGGGTGTGGGTATAAGATATGTGTTAAATTCCTCAAATTTCGATCGGGCACTTCGTCGTTTTTGCTTTTTCTTCCTTTTTTCTTCTTTCTTTTTTTTTTCTTTTCCTTTTCGTTCCCTTGTCTTTTTTCCCACTTTTGCTCTCTATAAACCAGCGTCATCGCTGAGAGAGTAGAGGATGGCGGCGGCACTTGGTTTTACCTTCTTTTTCTTCTTCTTCTTTCTTTTTTCTTTCCATTTTCTTCCTTTTTTTCCTTCTTTCTCTCTTTGTATCGGTGGGTTAGGGTTTTGTTTGTATAAAATGAAAATGGGTTCCATATGGTGTTACTTAGTGCTCCACTAAGTCAAATTACAATCGAATTCCTCATTTTCTATTTTATATAACGTTTAGTAATTTTCATAATTGAAAACTAAATCCCAAAATTCTATTTTATTCGTCTAAACCCTTTATTAAATACACATTTCCTTCATTGTGAATAATTAATTTTGGTCTATTCAAAATGACATCCTGGATTAATAAAAAAATTGAAGTTCGAAGGATGTACCCGTGTCTGAGATTTGGACTATTTTTTAACTATATCCCCGTATCCTACATTTTAGAAAATAAAATATCCGACACTCATATATGTACCCGATTCCGAGCATCATAGTATAAGACACACCAAAAATGTTAAAAGAAAATACAGAGAACAGTGTAGGTTAGTCTTGAGCTTATAAGAAAATCTTAAAAGATATAAATATCCGATGAAACTAAACTTTAAAAATAAAAAAATCTTGTAGTGCCCTGCAGACTTTCTATTGTATTGTATTGAACATGGTCTACAGAGCAAAAAAAAAAAA